TATCTCCAGAGATGCCTTGTAGACAACATACATGTAACACTTTCCCCCAGCACTCAGAAGGGATACATGAAACCCTACAACCAATAAATAATGCAAGAGAAACTAGTTTTAGCTTTAAAGACTGACAGAAACACACACACACACACACACACCCCCTCCTTATTTCCTGCAGCCTAAATTCTCTCCAGAAAAGAGGATACCTTTCCTTCTGCCCACCTAGACATCTGAACTTTACATGCTGTTCCTAGCAGTATATAATGATCCCCAGCTGGCCCTCATCCCCCAGCCTGATTAATTAACACAGAGATATTGCTTCACTTGCTGGGGCTTTATGTCTCTATGTAAAGTCCTCCAAGCAACCAAAAGGAAGAAGAGAAAGGGAAAAGCTTTAGCTGCCCCCATCCAAGCATGTATCTTTGTGTGGAAAAAAATATCCTGAGGGATGAAAAATGACACAGTAAGTTTCGCAGGACAGAGTGCAGCAAAAGAATGCTGTGTTATGCACTGCGAGAAATTCACTTTCAGCTTTTTGCCCCTATTAAAAAAGGCAGTGGGTTTTGTCAGAGACTTTCTACCAGCTTCTTTCACAGTTCAGAGGCATCAAGCACAGAGAGGTTTCAGGACTGACCCTCCTTCACAATGAATTCACAATGAAAGAAGCAAATAGACTTGATTACTGATGTGCACCTTTCCAGAATGGAAGCTCCCACTAATAGCTCAAGAGCTACCTGGGAGATCCTGATGAAAGAAATTATTTCTTTTTTTTAATGTATCAGAGCAAGTGGGCCAAATTACAGAAGTATTAAAGAATAGGCTAGTATTTTGTCATTTACGAACGCAAACACAATGTGTGCAAGCATACAGAAAAGCAAACAGATTACTCCTTATTGCTCTGAAACTTGAAAAGGTGGACAGGAAGAAAACATAACAAAATAAATTGATCTTTAGACCTCAGCCTTTCCACTGCAGATAAATCTCTGTTAAAAATAAACACAAGTAAACCAGATTTTAAAAATCTAAGCACAAAACCAAAAAAGAATTCAAGTTAATAATATAAGAGCAAGAGGAAAATAGGGAATATTGAAAATTAACTCACATCTTTATAATGGCAAAAGATTAAATGTCACGTTTAAAATATTTAAATCCGTTCCTCATGTTTTTATGTTACATTAAATTTAATCTATAATTGCCATATTTTTTGACAATGGTTTGTTTATACACTGAGTATGTGATATCCAATGCTATTTGAAATCCAGCATGAAATTCTTAAAACTATTCTTGGACACAGTAGTTACTACTGTTCCATGTTACGTTGACAAACAGCTACAAATGTGGTTCCATTGAACTGGAAGTCCAAACCCATGATTTTGATTATCCAGTCCGGCCTGTAGATTTTTCCTTCAGATTAAGCCACTGAAGTGACTGAATCAAAGTCTGACACAGGGTTACTCATTGCTAACTGTCTGTAGGTCCAGCAATGTTGTATACTGAGTGTATTATCTATAGAGGCAATTAAGGTGTCTACTCAGAAGAGCAAAAGGTAAATTTTCCATGTGTCTTAGTAGTTCCACATTTTTATGTAATGTTCTTATTTTCAGCCATCTATTTTTAATACGTCTCAGAAGGATGTGCTAGTGAGTGAGTCCGTGGGAAGATCTGAAGGAGGCAAATTAAAAAGAGAAAAATGAAGCACAGTGGACAAGGTTAAGAAGGCGAGTCCCTGCACAGGGAACTGGGCTGGAACATGTACAGTGTAGGAGAGCTGTCGCACTGCCATAAAAGCATGCTTTGAAATACAGCTTCAATTGTAGTGCTAAAGCTTGTCATCATCAGGTCTCACTGATGTTCACTCTTTTACTGACTTGTCTGTGAAGTCCTGTCAAGCCTGCATTTTGTGTGGCATGCACCCCACAATAAAAATGTGACCATTTCCCCTCCCAGATGACAGCAGCAAATATGCAGTAAGGTTACCAGTAGAAGCACTATGTTCATTGGTACTACTTAACAAGTAGATGTTCCCTACTTCAAGAACAGTGCAAAAGCATTAATTACATTACTGACAATATGTGAAGATTCAAATCCTGGGAGAGCACCACGCAAGATTTTCACTAATCCCAGATGAAAAACCAAAGGTGACCCCTGACAAAGTTACACAGCTCAATCCTGACCCAACTCTCTACCCCTCTGCCCCTTACATATTAATGTACTGAGAAAGCCCCTCAACTGGTTCAGTCTCACATACTAAGCATGAAGCAGCACAGCAGGACCATGAAGAATACTTTAAAGCATACATTTCACTCTGATCAGACATTTTGCTGTTTGCCCGGTAGTTTTAAAAATTTTTAAATTATTTAAAGTTATCTTTTTGCCAGCTTGTATGATTGCTGCTATGGAACCTGGAGTTTTAGGATGATTTTTCTCTGCAGAAAATGAGCAGAAAGTGGCAGATTAGGAATATATATCCTTTGAAGTGGCATAACACTGCTGAAATGTGTTTAAGAGAAATAGTTGATATGACATTTTTTGTCTCAACCTGTCCTTTTTTTTTTTTAAATATTTTTTCCTCATATCAACAAAAAGTATTAATGACATTTTGCAGATTTTTTCCACTTATAGGTTTTTGAGGGTTTTTTACCAAACAGACAATTAAAATCGTTGATTTATGTGAAGCTAGATTAGATCTTTAGACATAAACATCACCTGTAATTAATGGGGTTTTTCTTACTTATTTACTGATGAAGTGAAAGGGTGGATCTTTGCTGTGTTCTAAGAGAATATAAAATGAAACCCAGTATCAACTGACCATCTAAAATGAGGATGCCTGAAATAACTGAGATTACTGTGATTAGAGAGTTCACTGAAAAAAAAAGAAGAAAAAAAACAAATTATCTTTTTTTTCTGTAACAGCAGAAATTTTAACATAAGCTTTTAGCTGGCAGTAGTAAAACATGAATTGTTTCTTAGGCTGAATTATCACTACATGTTTCATAAGGATTAACTAGTATGTCGTTATTAGAGTAGTCAGTGATTCAGCATGCCAGAAGATTGGAAGATTAAACAAAAGCTAATCTCTAGAACAGTAGGACAAAATCCTTTGTTTCTTTTTCAGGAAAAAGAATTCACAGCTTGCAGGTTCTCAAAAGCTGGCTTCCCCCTCGCTGTCTTGGTAAGACAAAGTTTTTCTCAACAGCAGTACTTTCCCATCCACCTCTCCCAGGGGAATGCAGCTTCCAACTGTGTATTACAGAACATTAGGGATCGGGAAGCATCTGCAGTCTTTTTTTTTTTTTTTTTTTTTTTTTTTTCTTAGCACTAATAATAATTAATCTTTCTATAAACTGGGCGACTCTTTTGTTGCACTGGTGGTCAGTTTGACACAACTGGAAAAGGCTGACATGTCAGATTGCTGCAGTTTGACAAGGTATGCAGCAAACCACTGATAAAACGCTGTGAAAAGTTTTTATGTGTATTTTAAAGAAACCTGTTGGTAGATTCAACGTTTATTTTAACATAAGTGCACAATATATAGCATATTTCAGGTTCTCATCACTGACTTATCAGCTGTAGGATCCATCTTCTAAGAGAACAAGATCAGTTTGACATGTCATGTTCTACTGAAAATCCCTCACTACAAGGGACTGGAACTTTCACATAACTGAGAGTGCTGCCAACCTTTCATTTTCAAAAGAGAACAACAACCAAAGTTTGGAAATCTGCAATCAGATTATTCCAGGTTATAAGCAATGCCTCTTTATTCTCTTCTTGTGTTTCCACAACTGTCTGTAAATCTAATCCAAAGCAGATGCATGTTCAAGCCCTAGCTTTTGGCACTCTGTTTCTAAATGTAGAAACAATGTACTATTGGCATATTGACGGAAAAGGTTATATCCAGTTAACTAGGCAGCAATGTCACATTGTTCAAAAGAACAATGAAATAGATACATTTTAACTTAACATGATATTTAAATAATGTTAATTTTTATATGAGAAAGATAGTGAATTCAGAGCCAACCTCCCGATACAATTCTAGATCAGGTTTGCCTTTTATATTTAAGTATTACATTTTCAGCAGCACCTCTCACCAAGTTTTCTATTAGAAATATCAGTGGCATTCAGGACTGATAAACAGGTAAAAGATAACAATGACAGATACAGTTCTCAGTAATGTAAGACACACTCAGAGAGCGACTGATATGCCTCTTATGCAATACTTAAGATTTTCAAAGGTTGGTTTAGGTTCTGAACATTTTAAAGAAATTTTTAGTATTTAAGGAACCTTTGACAGCTATCAACAAAAAAATCCAGGAGTTCAGCACTCAAATCATGAAGAAAGTAATTGAAATGGTCTAAAACAGCCTTTGATATGTTCAAATATCTTCAGAAGCTCTGGAAAATATTTAGTATCATGCTGTATGACAGAGAAATGCCATATATTAAGTAGATCTCTGGTATACTTCTATTAAATATTCTCCTTCACTTGAAGAAACTTCCCATCCAAATGCAGGATTTTGGCCAGGAATGGCAGTAGCATAAATATTGCAGCTCCTGGAAGGATTCATCCAGGGGCGAGTGAAGCTTTAAAATATTTTCATTTCCTACCTCAGTGATCTCTGACTTTCCTTCAGGCTCACTCTGCAGTCATGTTCTGCTAAGCATCCCAATTAAACACAATGCAGCTGCTAAAATTAGTTATCTTAACAGTGATACATGGGTTCGTGCCTCTCCTTGGTATCAAAGGCACCTCCGTGGGAATCTCTGACAGCTAGAAGGGTCACTTGGGAAGTTCCTGCTCATCCGCTCTGGGGTCAGCTCTCTCCTATGGCAAGGTCTGGGCCCAGCAGTTGGCAGTGGGCACTTCTTGCCTTCAAGTAAGTTCTGACATGGATGTAGTGATCTGCTGAGAAACTGGCAGCAGCATGACTGGGGTCTTAGTTCTGCACAGTACATATCCTTTAGTTGGGCTATGCTGGAAAATGGAAGAACTAATTTTGACTTCCTGAATGAATTAATTTTAATATTTATTGTCAGTCTTGGAGCAAACAACTGTCCATACTGAAACAGCATAGATGGTCAAGACATAGGTGGTAATCTGCAGGAGAAAAATGTTAAAACTACTTACTAGTAATAAAGTACATGAAACATTCATCTCAATGGGATTAGGCAAATCAAGCTTCACAGTCCATTTCCCTTTATTTCTATTTTGCTTTGCTCTCCATCTCCTATGTACCCCACTTATGGCACCTGAATTAATGTTGCCTTGTACTTCTTCTCAAGAAACATGAACCAAATCAGTGTTCAGTGAACCCACGGGAGGCCTCTTACTGATCTGTAGCTTCAGTGAGGTCCATGTGTTAAGCATCACTGCATAAACAAGTGAGAATGTGAGCTAGCTTTAAACTCAGGGTACTCCTAGCTAAGGGCTAGTATGAAATGTTTATTAGTCAGATCATATATTCACTTACAAGCTTGTTCTGTTCCCACAAGGACCTCTATTCAGTCCCTTAAAATTAGAGTAACCATGCCTCAGTAATGAATAAAGTTTCTAGGGTTTCAGATCTCACAGTAAAAAATTAATTGTTATCAGTGTTAGAATATTTAGCATCTGCTGCAAGTCACTCATGGCTAGTTACCAGCTCTTCTGTGGCTGGCTAATGATTTTCTTACAGAGGGAGAGGCAAGGACAAACTACATTTGATCCACAGTGAGATGATTTAGCTCATGCTGGCAGGCAGATCTGGCAAATGTTTCTCTCGAGTGACATTTTTGATGGACATGGCTGCAGTGACACTTGCCAGAGCAGCATCTGTAAAAGAGCAACGGATGAGCATATCTATACCCATGTTCTATGCGGGGCAGCTGAAAAAAAACTGTAAGGAAGAATTCAGTAGATGTTACTGTTTGCAAACAGCCATTTTGGAGGAATAATTGCTCCGGTAGCCTGAATAAAATGTCAGAGCTGTTCTTTTTCCCACTGGAAAAATAACTTTCCTAACAGACACAAAATCAGAAGGCAAAAGATCTGTTCAATTTGACATGCACCATTCTAATTTCAGTGAATGTTCCACTTTTGAAATCAAAGGTATGAACAGAGTAATTTCCAGGATGCTTCTGGCCAAAATGCACCTACATATATTTGATAGGTAGGGCGTAGAGCCCTTCCACACACAACATATCTCAAAACCCACAGAAGTCAAGAAACTTTTATTCACACTCAGAGGGATGTATTCCCAAAATATTGTATTTGCAGTGATTTGTGGAAAATCCAATATCCACCATATCCTCAGGTGATGTAAACCAACATAACCCCACTGAAAAACAAAGCCAACTTCTTACAGATTCAGCGAGTAATTTCTTAAATGAACTGTATGAGATTGTCTCTGTGCAGTTCATTTCTAAGGGACAAGAAAGATGACACGATGATGTCTCATTTTTAACAGGCTACAAAATGAACCCAAAGCACCTTTCAAAATTATTGAACAGGGATTACTTACATCGCAGCAGCTGACCTCATTCTGTGACTCAGGTATGGTTACCTGTCTGCTCTGTTACTTAAATTTTCATTGAATAATGATTTTGGTTGACATGGATTCCACTGTATTTCATTATTCTAGACTCACCTTTCACTTGAATAAAGAAGCTGAAAAATTGACTATTAATGTAAAGATTTATGGAGTGATGTTACAAAATGTTTTGTTAGCTAAACACATGTCAAGACTTAAGAGTTATGGTGACAAGTCTTAGTTTTCCTGAGACAGCTGGAAATGAAAAGAATGCAGAATCTGAAAAATGTTATGATCTTTTAACTAAACATAAATTAGACATGAAAAATCATTTTCTGCATACTGATTTATAGTTACCTGAAAATTCAGGCTTGAAAATAGGGATCATTCTTTCAGAGACATACTAATTGCTATTTCTCAAATCAGCTTGTTTTCCCATATTTTAACAATTCCTTGGTGGGCAGTTTTTTTCCCTGAAAACATTGCTGATTTATAATCTACTTTTGTATGTCCATACAGCTAAATGCCATAAGTTTTTCTGTTTACATCCAAAGTTGTAGTGACTAGTTGGGATCTTAAAACACACAGTAGGGCAGGTATCCATCAGGAAGGCCTAGCATGGCCTAGAGAAGAGGAAAATATCATGGGCAAAACCCAGTAACACATCCCTTCCCCAAAACCCAAACACAACCTTACACAACTGGTAGCTTTTGGAGTAGATCTGAGCAGAGAAAGATGTCCCACCAATACACCATATCCACATTCTATGGGAAGTTGGAGGATGCTTTGTCCAGTGCTTCCATTTAGCTAGGTAACTGGGGTCCCAAATTATCACCATTTCCCCTAATACCCTGTACCCCTTGGTATTAGAAAGGCTGAACTACTGTTTATGACTGTTACTCAGGGTGAGGTGCATTAATAAGGCTCAGAGTGAAAGGGCATTAGAAATCAATAAATCTGACTTTTATTCTTTGCATTTGTCAGAGGTCCTAAGAACATGGTTATTCTGTACTCAGTCTACTAAATGGCCATAGAAAGAATTACAGTTCCCTAGCTGTGAATGATTGAGTATTCTCCTTGATTTCTAATTTTGCCTGAGTAAATATTTCAGGTTCTGGTCTTGAGGATGTAAAATAAATCATAATATAATTATACCTTGCCAGTGTTTCAGAGGCAAAAAAAGCGCATAAATTTATTATTTCTGATAAGCTGTCTTATAATAAGAAGCCTTATAATAAGAAGCCTGAGGTTTACCAGCAAGAAAAAAAAAAACTTAACTTCTTCTATCCATGCATTTCATTCTAGATTAAAATGGCTAAACTCAGAATTTAAAACTGATCTACTTCATTCTGGAAGATGAGCAGGCTAGTGCTTATCGACACAAGGACAAACACTTGTACGTTTGGAAGGCAGCTAGTTTCAAGCTATCAAACAGATCAAGCCAAACAGCACTACTCACTGGAGCATTGTACCTACTGTCAATGGATATAAATTGCTTTATTTTACATAATGAAAGTGCAATTTGTAAAGCTAGTGTTTGGAACTCGAGACAGTGAATTTATGTTGTAAGCCACCTGATTTTTTGCTGTCAAGCTAAAAACCTGTCTGGAGAGGATGGAAGTTAAAGGCTCAGATTCACTGAGCTTTCAAATTCCACAGCGAGATTGCTGTGACAGACTGGACATAAAACTGTGACAGAAGAGAAGAACACTTAATAGTATGTGATAATTCTGTATGCTTGTAGTTGGGAGTGTAATTTCTTTGTAACATCATCACTGTCTGGCTCCAGACGCCTGCCTCTTCCTTTCCTTTTCTTAGGCACACAGGTAATAACTCTCCTCCAGTGCATAAATAGGAGTTGGCCTCAGTCAGCATGCAGAAGCAGAAAAGTGCAGTTTGGAAAGGCTGAATGAGCTCAAACACTTTTGTTTTACCCAAGCAAAAGAATGAAGACTTGATCCTGAATTCATCCTCAGGTGCAAGAGGCAGACACTTCTCTTGGACACTTTCCTACCCACCCTGTTGCTAGAAAAACTGGGCCTTACTCACCAGGCATGACAGATAATAATCTAGCTATCTGAGTTAATGTCTACTCACTCAGCCAGAACAGGACTCTGCTTGGCAGTAATCATGACCCAGACCCATAACAGCACTTAATGTCACCAGTCATCTAAATTTACTGTGATAAATGGAATATTTCAGTGAATCCCTAATCATTTCTATTACGAGGGTATAAAAGGTAGAGACCTGAAAAACCTAAATCACACATCTCATTGCTATCTGAATGATAATAGCTGTGCTGCCTGTTTGCCTGGCAGGCAGGGTGAGCTGCACAGCGTAGAACTGGCAAGCTCTCACTGCATTTCTTTTCTCTAACCCATTTTTATTAAGCAACACTTGATCTGGGAGACATTCTTGTTACATCTGGCGTATTATCAGAAAGCAAAGGGAACTGCAGGTTGAAGCTGGACTCCATGCTTGCTCCAGACAGCAGGTAGTTTCTCAGTATGGATTACTTTCAGCCTTCCAGTCTTTTAATTATTATTTTTTCTTTTGAAAAGTTCTGAATTATCTCCCGATATCTTTTTTAGCAATGGAAACTCATTTTAACCGCTCTGCTTCCTAATCTTATTGCAGTTGTAGCATTCAAGAATGAAAGGGTCTCAAATTACATTAAACTCATCAGGAGACACTCTGGGAAATGCTATGATTTAAACAACAGATAGCAACCAGAGCCATAAATTCAGAACAATGGACTGTACTAACTAGATAAGAAAAAGAAAGATAATTTCAAATTACCTGATTTTAAAAGACACTCATCTGTAGTCTTCCTATAATCACCAGACTAATTCTTTAAGGACTCAGCTCAGTTAAAGCATGTCATCCACCAAGTACGATTCTTGCTGTACTTCTTACTCATTTCAAAGATATGGGCTTGTTAGATGAGCTCTGTGAGATTTTTATTACCTACCATCAATCCTTCAAGAGGGGAAGGTATGTGAAAAATTGGGGTTATGGAGCCCACGTCCTTCACCAACACAAGAGATCGAGTATCTCGATGCAAGGCAGGGGCACAGTGGCATGATCACTGTGGGGGAGGAAGTGAACTCTTCCCTTTGTGCTGCAGGGAGGCTTATTTCCAGCTGCACTTAGAATTTATCAGAAGACATCACTGATGGGCAAGATCAAGAAGACCCTGCCGGCCATGACAACAGATCTTGCTCTGCACTGGCATTGGCTCAATTGTAAGGAAGAGGGAAAGCATGATCTCTCAAAAATGTAGGATCCAAATGTACTCAATGCTCTAAATTCACATATAAAATAATGTGATTGGGTCAAATCCAGATATCTGGTGAAAACACTCAAGAGTTTTGGCTTAGGTTGCATCCAGTTTGAAAATGTATATACTTAAAAACAACTTTTCACAAAATTAAAGGCAAAAGAAGAAAATCCCCAACAAGACTCATTTTCAATGCAATTAATTTCAAAGAACTACACAGACTCATACTGGGAGACCGAAATTTACCCGCAGTGGGTGGAAAAGAGAACCTAAGAAGGACACTGATGGAGAAGAGCTTCACTACAAGCCCTTGCTCAAGGCCGAGTTTCTCTCTGAATGCATAATTCACTGTTGTGCACTCTGAAAAATTCCTACACATCCAAGACTTTTAAAACTCAAATGATCTCTGAAACTGGTGACTGGTCTCCAAATGGTTCCCCAGATATCAATTAAATTCTCTCCCGTTTGCTTCAAAACTTCCTGTTTTGACAAACTGCCAATTTCAGAGCACCAACAATGACGCAGTGATTGTCATCATCTAAACCGTAAATAGAATTGCTCAGGTGGTGGTCAGACTGCTGCAGTCATTCTGGATTAGAAGACTGCTATGATTCACTATGGATATCTATTCAATTAATTAAAAGTTCTACACAACGTATCTACAAAGATTTAAAGCTAAGTGGTGATTGAGGTGTAAATGGGTTTAACCTGAGGTTAACATTAAATGAAATACAAAAGTAGATGACTTGGCATTTGAATTAACAGTAATGCCAAGAAAGAAAAGTCTACTACATGGAAAAGAAATTTTAGAACAAAAACTTGTATTAAAAAGCTATTGACTATTCAGGGATATTAAAAATAGATTTCATACAAGCCACTGCCAGGTAATGTAATTTTGTAGAAACTCCACAGTGAATTGAAAGAGTTCATAGAGTGGTCAATGGAAGATTAAAATAATCAAATTTTGACCGCACGAGATATTTTAAAGCATATGATTGGGATAAGGCAATCCCATTATCTGGTTCATCATCTGCTATTATTGAGGACAGTAGCTAAGAACTGTTCAGAGAGTGGATTAGATGCTGTGAGTAAGGACCTCGATGGCTGTGAAAAAAAGCCCAGGGTGTGGAAATCTATACCTTAAGTCTTTGCAGCAAGTCAGACTGCTGAAAATAACAGTGGAGTGACACTGAACTCTTACATGCGTGGATGGATGGGAAATAGATGAAGATCCCTAATGATCTTCTTAAAGATTTCCTGAGAATGTGTCATTCTATAAAAGCACCAGAACCCACAACAATGAGTTTATCTCTTTCGCAACCACCATCAATAAAAGCATGTAGAATAAATAATAAATGCTAGATCCTATAAGCAATCAGACATTCAGAAGTCTTGTTTTCCTTTGCAGGAACTATGAACATAGTAAAAAATTCAAAATGACATTACACAAACAGAATTTTGCAAACATACTTGCTACAGAGACAAATCCTATTGACTGCAGAGGATTCCCAAGGTAAGACACAAATACATTCCTCCCCAGATTAACATTCAGGAACACTGGTGAACAAAAGGCCCCACACTAGATGAATGAGACCCATGATTAGCACAAATTGCTATTGAATGAAGACTCCTTCTACAGAATATCCCATTGAAAAGGAAAATTTTGTCCCAAATTGATGCCTTTATTGCCATTGAAAGCAGTCTTTTAATAGCAAGAAAGCGTTTTTATGACAACAGATTTCTGGTTCACAACCCAAGCTACTCAAGGGCTAGAGGAAAATGACTTCTCTGCTAATTCCTTCTTTACACTCAATGTTTATGAGAGAAAACAGAACCATGATTCAAATATTGAGAAAAAGGAATTTCAGCAACCACCAGAACTAGCATAGATACACTTTCTTGAAAGAGGAAGTTTGGGACATTATCTCATCATTCCTTTTTTTCTTGTTTTGTTAATAAAGCACCAATGTTAACTTTACCATACTAGTCACTTCTATTTAGCTTTGAATTTCAGATAAGACTTATCAGCTCATTTACACATCTGTGGCTAGCATTGACAAAGTATCTTCCTTTACAATGCACATGCAAAGTCCGCAGCAAGCAGCATTGATCATTCTATTATCACTCTGTTATGCTTAATTTCCTCTTCATCTTTCAAGTCAAACTCTATCTCGGAGTACATCAATAGTGGTGGCAGCACTCTGATTGATTACCCTTGCCTTTGGCAGGCATGCCTGCTGCAGGTACTTTGTAAAATTGCTTTTGTATTAGCCCAGCACAACTGAGGTCTCCTAAACTATTCAAAGAATCAAATTAACAAGTGCATTGCAATCTTTAAGCACTCTGTTATGACTTTGTAACAAGCAATTAAGTGACACAGCCAGCCAGTTTGACAAAGCACTAGAAACTGCTGCCAAGAGGAGGAATCTGCTGCAAGCACAAACCAGCTTCAACAACTACCTGGGCAGCTCCTCGCCTCAGTTCTGCCCCGGCAGGAGCTGGCAGAGCTCGCTGAGCTGACCCCGTTCCCAGTCTGCCAAAGGAGGCAGCGTGGCTGCAGAACGGAAAAGCAGGGGTGGTCATTCAGTATTCCCTCTGAATGAATTAAGGCAGAGCAGAAAATTAAACGCAAGAAACTTTGTTATATGAAGCAACTCCTTCAACCTTCTAGAGAAAAGAGCTTTCGGGAAGGGATGTCCCTAGAGTTCCTCCTGACACTAGCAGTAATTTCCTGATGAAATCAATGGTTGCCATTGGCTTTGATTTAAAGGATGAAAGAAACACTTTTCCTTCTTTCCAGATCCAGGCAAATCCCAGCACTTGCTTCATCTACAGCCCAGCCAAAGGGTCCCATTGTCCTAGGGCCCCAGAATTTAAATTACTGAAGACAGTGAATATTGGGATTATAAGAAATGCCAATGAAACAAAACAATAAAAATCTCATCAGTCCATCTTTTCTGATACCTGAGATCCTTTGAACCTTTGGCACCTCCAAACATACCCAGGATGTTACCAGTAACTTGATTTCAGAGTTTATCAACACTGTATCTTGCAAACTGTCCTGTGTGCCAGCAGTCCATAGATAGGCAACTCTGTAAGCAGAACAGAAACTGAACAGCAGGTCAGCAACAACCAGTGACCCTTTCTTGCTTGTGAAGCTTCTGCCCCCTTACATCGAGCTGTGCTGGCTAAGGCCCAAATCCCGGGAAGTCTGCTTCCCACAAAAGGACTGCTATTACCCATAAATTCTGCTTTCAAACCTGTGCTGTAACCTGCAAGTCAGTGGCAAATAAGGGAAACTGCTCTATTCCAAGATCAACCAACTGAAACAAGAATATTCCACAAGGTCCTTGTCACCAGAGCAGAACCCTGCAGACTGCAATGAAGAAAGAAATCCTTTTTAATTGCCATCATATTTAAACATTTTTAGAACATTTTAACCTATTTTCTTAGGACACTGGCACCTAATAATTGTGGTATTTCTCAGATTAGTACATGCAGAAACGCAATGCCCAAATGGCTAACCGCATTTCATCCATCATTTACCACCCTAAGTGCATTTCTTCCCTGCCTGCCTTTTCTTTATCTGATCTACCTCCATACCATACACACAAGTTACAAAAGCATTTGAGGAAATTAATTAACAAGAGAACTTTTGCTCCATTTTTTTCTGGCAAGGTCAATTTAATAATTTGCAGTAATAATTACAGGTGCTTTGAGTCTACTACCGCTTGTGTTCCCTAGACACTACTGGTGCAGATCAGAACAGGCATGATAACTAAAACAGCCAGCACACAGTATTAACTGTTAATGCACTAGCTTAATTTCAACAGTCTTTGAATATGGAAAGTGCAGTAAAATAACCACTAGCTTTAGATGGAGTTTTATTCACGGCTGGCTGAATAACAAAATCACAATATGCACAAATAACATGCTGACAAGTATTGATTCACAAGTATTTATCACGTCGTTTCTAGGATTGTTTTCCAGTTCCAATTTATTTTCAAAATGTGCCTCCTCTCAGTTTCCATCTTTCTCTTATTTATATGACCATGTCTTACTGACCCTGCTCAAGTTACGTATTTTGACATCTGAAAATAGGAAACTTACACTATATTACTTTAAGACTTCCCCTGGCAGTCAAGTGTACACACACCATTTTTGAAGCAATACATTGCTTGAAATTTTTCAGCCCATGTAGCCTTACAGTAGGGAAATGAAAGTTGACCTCTTCATGTCCCTTTCAGGTTATGCTTCTAATGGATTTCTTCTATAGCTTAAGATACAGTTTCTAATAATGTAACCAGAATTATAAGAGTTGAATTTTACAGCCATGTAATTAGGGTGCTGTTAAAGTTTAAATCCATTTCTTCTTAAACCTGCTGGTTGTTTTATCCAAATGGGCTATGACTGTGTGATCCTTCCAATAATCTTCTGCTTGGCATAGGCTTCACATTTTTGCAGAGAGCCAGACAAACTACATTCATGCAACAGGAGATTATAGCAGTAGTCCTACATACATCCTTATAGCTTGATATTGTATATATATTGCTATGCATTTTACTGCACAAATAAGCACTCACTATTGAATATCAATGGAAATGTATGGAAATGTATCGCATCCAAGAACTGAAAATAAGCATGTACTATCAGTGCAGTCTAAAAATAGGCAGTGTTTTGAGACTCTCACATGCAGACAAGTGTAACTCTCATTTATCACATGCTCTGAACACCTTCATACAGTTTATAACAACATAAAGAAAGAACTAGTTCCTTTCAACATTAGCCACTCATATTACTGATGTAACTGGAAGAGAGATCAACAGGTTAAAACCTGGTCTTCGTCATAGCTGGCAGGAAATAGCCCTGTAACACATTCCTAGCACTGTGTCACAGATAGAACAACACCCTGAATCCAGCCTGAAGAACACAGCTTCCCATAGGAACTGCTTACTTAGAAAGAGGAGAAATTTGGATCAGTGACTGTTTTTTCATAGCCATGTGTTAACCGCTTTCCCCGCACTGAGAATCTTATCTTAGCAGAGCCATGAGTCCAATGTTAGGACTGATGTGCTGTTAAATTCACATGAGGAGACCTTGTTGCGTTATGATGAACAGAGACAGAACAGCACCGAGATACAAATTAATGAGGTGTGGTAGCATAAAATACTAACAGGATCTTCAAACGTATGTGTGGGACTAATAAGTAGGAGTAAAAAAGTTATTTTTCAGCACAGCTGAGGCAGACTGGAGGACTGTGCAGTCTGGTAGCCACGTTTGAAAAGGATATTGAAAAATCCTGAAATGATGGATGAGCTGTGTCTGGTACCCGGGGTTCTCTCTGACTGTTGCGTGGCAACAAGGGGCGCAGGCTTTTGGCCCAGCTCCTGTTCTCAGAGGAGTGCCTTTAAAGGGAACAGATCTTCCAGCTGCAAGCTTTCCTACAAGCCCTCCTCCATCATCTGACCTAGTACATGGCTCGTCACAGTCAGGCTCAGGAAAATGGTGAAAAGTTTCCAAATCTCCTGCAGATAAAGGGAAGGGGCCTGAAAAAGAGGCAATCTAGGAATGTTGTGCTGATATGAGATACTGCCTATAACTAAAGCACATTTTTTTTTTCTTTGAAGCATTTTGTATTTCCAGTTATAATGTGCTTGGAGAAGTACTTATTTTTCACTAGTGGTATTTCTAGTTTGTCTGTGGTAACAATCTTCTTTATTTTTTCCACTGAAGACACATCAAGGTTTTCCTGAGGAAGAGAGGGAATTAAACCAGTGTTTTTTTCCCTAGTATTAGAAGAAAAAAAAAAAAATCCCATCTCATTTGTGCTATCAGTTTTGGCTGTATGGTAGAACAAATGATACATAGGCGGCTTCCATGCCACATTTACAATTTGAGGAAATCTAAATCTCAAGGCTTAAATTTTACAGTGCCATTTTGCCATTTTTTAAACACACAACCTTCCCTTCCCGTGACAGGGGCAAAAGTACACCCTCCACCCAATTCCTTACCTCCTGACTCTAGGGATGAAAAAATAAAGCAGTCTCCCATACAGAGTCAGCTGTTATGATTAGTGTCTAGTGCCAGCAGCTTGAAGACTCAAAAATCCAAAGTCAGACTCCAGAACATACCTGATTGCCCCCAAACAAGACATGTTTTACTGAAAAAAATGATGCTCATGTCCACATATGTACTGTGTCTTTCCGCCCCACCATCTATTGAAAAGGATCCGTGTGAGCTCCAAATCCCACCAGGGGTTACTGGAGAGCCCCCTTTTACTACAGTGGTTTCTGGTGTGGGTTCTCGAGAGCAAATTGCCTTTTTCTTTTCTGATTCCTACTCATTCTCATCCCAACATGATCTAAGCTGCCCTAGGGTTAGGGAGTGCACTACCATCAAATGATGAGGATCTTGCCTTCACTTTATTAATGCCTCCCTTGGGAGTGCTAGGACAGACTGGAAGAAGATGATCACATTATCAAAAGCTCTGTTCCTCAAAGAGACAAGTCTTGAGAGTTTGTTTACATCAGATGTAGTGACCAAATTTCACTTGACATGTCACAAGCATCCAGTCTGTTGGCCACAGAACAAAGTGAATAATTTAGCAAGGAACTGCTCTATGCCAAACAAACAGGTTGTAAAACAGTTCTGCACAAAATCTGGGGAACCAGCTGTCTAGATCTGAGGCACAGAGTAGTATTTATTGTGTATGCATCATGCTGAATTGCTGACAACATGGCCCAAAGTTAGGAAAAGGATGATACACATGGAAGAATTATTTTTTGTTGTTCATCGTCAAAAGCTCTGTTAGCACATGGACAACTATGGGGAACTACAGGCATTACTTTTAAGGTTGCTAACGTTTAGAGAACTACTATAGCAGACAGTATCACACTCTACCTACAAGAGATGAGACGACTGCAGATTTTTGTGTGATGAGAGCACTGGTGCACAGTTTGGGCAGGAAATGAAGTCGTCATTCTAATGAATAACTTGGGAAGCTAAACACAGACCCATATTTGCCTGGATGTTTCAGTTAGAAAACCTTTATATCATGATACTGAACAAACAAATGCTGGTTTTATTCATTCCTCAGTAGGTGGATTTTGCAAAAGAGCTCAGCATTGACCTAACTGTGATCATGCCAGAATCAGTGGCAATTTAACTCCAGATTCAGCTGGAGCAGGAATTGGCTATCGCTGCCCCAAGATGTCCAGTGTTAGAGATTTACACATTCTGTAAAGCCATTATAATGACCCCATTATTCAGAGTGGCTGCACGACCATGTAACTTCCCTCTTTTCTGGTCTGGCTTCCACGGTTGTCCATTTGTTTTCCAGGTGGCACCTCTGTCCATTTACAAATGATGCCTTTCTCCTAGATTTATAGAGTTGGAACTGGAAGGAAACATTTAAAATTCAATGAGGAAAAATTCTGACTGTCCTTAATTTTAGTCAAGGATGTGTAGTTGTAAATTCGTGATGGATTTGCCAAACTTCTTGTAACTCAATAACAGAGGGAAAAAACATCTTAGTGGAGCAGACACCGAGAATAATTACCTATTCTCCTCCACAGATGAAGTATTTATAATTAAAGATATCCGTATCCAGCTTTGTCTATTTGAAGCAGCAGTAATGCCAATGAATTCTTTAAAAAATATTCAAGGAAATGTCATCCTTTAAATTTTCAGTTAATTCTAGGTAGATTGTTAACATTCAAAATGTAAGACATACCGAAACTTAACTGCTCATCCAGAAGAAAACAAGAAATAAAATAAAGGAACATTTCATTACTGTGCATAAAAAAATTAAAACTGGGAAATAAATCATTATATTATCTTTGTGGAAAGAAATGAAGACTTCAGCAAACAAGTTGTACATGGAGATATATTAAACAGAGGCAACAGCTGTTATTCAAACAAAAATGTATAATCATTAGAGCCGAGCAGCTCTTTTAATAGAATGACAAATATAACAAATGGAGTTAGAAGACACAAGAATAATGGTATTGATGTCTTTCAGAACACTAACTATTAACAATTATCACAATTTTTCAGGAAAAAAAAAAAAAGGTGAACTAATCTTTCCGTTTAGTTATAGTCATTGTTCAAAGTCTACAACACTCAAGTCTCAGCAATCATTGGATAGAAATTTCCTCCTCACCCCACTGGAGTCCATCACCTCCGAAGCACTTCTCTTCCCATACCCCACACAGGATTTTTACATGAGTAAAACAACATAATTTGTGTCCTTTACTGAGATTGCTGTTATAACCTTGTATTAAATTTATGGTTTGCTCTTCAAACCTTCCAGCTGAGATTAAACATTATCACCTCATTTGTAGCCCAAACATCTCTGCAAGCACTTTTAGTATTTAAACCAGAAACTGGCCAACATTTAATTAGTGTCTGGCACACTCTGTAACCTACAGCTTGTTCCCCAAGGAAATGACTGTAGTTTTGCAGACTGTGTTTTTGCCACCTTCTGTGTGACACCGACCTAGCCCTGCAGAACAACCATGGTTCAATCCTGCAGTGTCCTGAGGTGCTCAGCACCTGCAATCCCATGTGACAGCTGTGGATTATCAGTAAAGTGCAGGATCAGACTCTTAGTAGTCATTCTTTTTTTGTCAAAGAAGTAGATATGGCTAAGTAACAGCATAAAACTGTAGAGACACAGGCTTATCTATGAGTTAAACCATAAAATAACTTCATTGTACTATACCCTTGTGAACCTTCAAGAAATTCCCTCACTTAATTGATTACATCTGAAATGCAAAGACCGCAAAACTAGCATTCGGTTGTTCTATTTGTTCTAATTTCAATTTAAAGCTGCAAATAAACTAGCCTGCTGTCCAAGGGCAATTCCTGTTCCTCTAGCTCAGAAAAAACTACTGCAAAACTAAATACATTATTTAGCACTTACTGCCTTTGCTTAATTTGGGAGCATGAACAGGGAGACTGAGTGCTCAAAGTCAAGTTCAAAACGGTTTGGCTACATCTTTAAAAACAACAAATTATCATCGAAGTGGGTCGGGTGTTAGTTTGATCTCCACCTTTGAGTGCTGTGTTGGGTTTGTGTGTGGCAGGTTTTTTGGTAGCAGGGGAGGGGCTACAGTGGTGACTCCTGTGAGAAGTTTCCAGAGGCTCCCCCGGCTTCAAGCTGGACCCACCTCTGGCCAAGACCGAGCCAATCAGTGACGGTGGCTGTGCCTCTGTGATAACATATTTAAGAAAGGGAACCTGGCAGGAAGAGGAGGAGTTGTGAGCGAAATGCCGATGCAAACACCGAGGTCAGTTGAAGAAAGGAGGAGAGGGAGGTACGCTGGGGCAGAGACCCCCCTGCAGCCTGTGGTGGGAGGGCAGGCTGTGCCCTGCAGCCCATGAAGGCCACTGGTGGAGCAGATGCCCACCTGCAGCCTGTGGAGGATCCAACACTGGAGCAGGGGCTGCGCCCGAGGAAGGTCAGGACTCTGAGGGAAGCCCACGCTGGAGCAGTCTGTTGCTGGGAGAACTGCACCCCGTGGGAGGGACTCACACTGGAGCAGTTCAGGAAGAGCTGCAGCCTGTGAGAAGGACTCACATCAGAGAAGATTCACAGAGCTGAATCTGCTGTGAGAGGGACCCCACGCCAGAGCAGGAGAGGAGTGTGTGTTGCCCTCTCCCCGAGGAGGAAGGAGCAGAAGAAAGAACGGGTGATGAACTGACCACAATCCCATCCCCTGCCCCTCTGCGATGCTGCAGGGGAAGAGGGAGAGAAATCAGGAGCAAAGCTGAGGCCAGGAAGAAGGGAAGGGTGGGGGGAAGGTGTTTTTAAGATGCGGTTGTATTTCTCACTGTCCTACTCTGACTGGTAAATTAAATGGTGGTGGTGGTGTTCAAATTAAATTGATGATTTTTTTATTCCCCAGTTGAGCCTGTCTTTTGCTCATGACCATAAATGCTGAATGATCCCTCCCTGCCCTTGTCTCCATTCCTGAGCCTTTTGTTTTATTTTCTCCTCCCCACCCCTGGGGGGGAAGAAGGGACCAAGGGTCTCTCTGCATGGTGCCCAGTTGCCCTCTGGGCTTAAACCAGGACAAGTGCTCAGCCCCAACACTGTAATATCAACCCAATGTTTGCAGATAAAACACTGAAATATCTCTTGATAAATATCTCTCTGTGGTTAAAAGACAATTCTCCCTGCGGGTACAATCTAGAAAACAGTTTTATCTGCCTCTGCTCTGAAGGTGCATAACCAGGAAGTTCCAGACAAAGGAAAATTACTTCCAGTGATCCTGGACACAAGGTTCCTATCTCACTGGGGCCTCACAACTCCTAGGTTAGGATGACAATGGCCACTCAGACACCTCTGAACTCAGCACAACAGTGGCTTTAACAGAGGTGGTGATCTGTACTAAAATCCATCAAGAACAACTACCTGCACCACAGCCACACCCAGCAAGGTACAAAACATTTCATTGGCATTCCTACCTGGAGAAGAACCTGAATCTCTGTTAAGAACATCTTTCTTTCTGCACTGCAAATCCCCTTTTGCCACAGAGAACTTCAGCCAATATTACTACTAATTACTTGATTGAAGAACCCAATCACTTACATTTAATTAGCACAGCAAAATTATTCCTCATATCTGTGGTATGCTCACTCTTTTCAGGAACCTTAATGAGGTGCCCTCTGGAACGCTTATAATTGAAGGAGAAAATGAACTTCAAGTTTCTAAAAATGATGGTCTTCAGGCACTGTAGGTCATAAATGTCAATGTGTGTGAGAAACAAATATTTCATTTTGATGCATGGTCCACACTGCACATAGCTACGATGAAAGATTCATATCTCTCCATTAACATTTTACCTGCAAGGTACTGGGCATCCACACAGCTCATTCCCTTCCACTGAAGTTGGACTCCGTGGTTCTTCACAGAAAAATCAGCTGGTATTTGGTGCTACAGGGCAACAAATGAGGGGTGGACCTGAAATTGGTAGTGAAGAAGAGGGTTATCAGAGAGACTCTTATCTCTACAACTGCCCAGAGGATACTGAGACAGCAATACTTTGTGTTAGCAGAGTATGGCCCTTCCTTTTCTCCTCATACTGCCTTAGCTGCTGTAGCATTGAGGCAAGGAGCAGCTCAACTTCACACTAACGAAGACTTTCTCTTTTCAA